CACACAACCCCTGGTCCATTGCTAAGGGCCAAGGCACAAATGGTGCTGTGGCTGCCCTGGCTCAGCCCAGAGCAGCCTGGCAAAGCCATTCGGTATCTGTGCAGTTGAGTTACATGCACTCCTTTGCTTATGCAGCCGAATGAGTGATTTTCTCTGCTGCCTGTGTCAGTGCTCTGCTCCAGCAGGCCCAGGACACACTTTAGCCTGCTGACCACTCTATTTTGTTTGCCACCCAAGGATCTCCCAGCAGTTCAAAGTTGATGGCTGCAACTGTGAAGTGGGCAGGTGTCTATGGGATGTCCTGTCTCTCTGTATCTCTGCAGGGAGATACACACGTAGGTTTATTTTTCTAAACTTAGATTTATCTTTTTATCTAGACTGGCAAGGCATAGAACAGCAGTTAGGGTGAAACCCATGAATGGCTGTGCATGGACACCATTGGGGACTACCACCAGCAGCATGCAGGGCTTGGGCAGATGCCTCACACTTTCAGCCCTGACCTGCCCCTGCTCAGATTTAATGGTTGGAGATCAAAAGCCTCTCCTCACTTGTCTTCTGCTAGGACTACTCACAAGTCATGTTTTGGCTTTCGTTCAGAGTGTGGAGGACGACCTGGCTTCTCTAAACCCAGCAAGATCGTGGGAGGAACAGATGCTGCCAGAGGAGAGATCCCCTGGCAAGTCAGCCTGAAGGAAGACTCAAGGCACTTCTGTGGAGCCACCATCATTGGGGACCGCTGGCTGCTGTCGGCAGCTCACTGCTTCAACGAGTAAGCGTCCATCCTAGTGCCACAGCTTCAGCTCGCTCACCCACCAGCATGGAGCTGTGCAGCTCTGTGTGGCCACGTAGCCAAACCCACAGCTGCGGCACTGGGGAAAAACAGGAACACTCATTGAACGTTAATTTTTGTTATAGGTTAAAGTATAAAGATTATATATTTATAAATATATATATCAAGGTTAAAGTAGCCTGGGCAGGGAGCAAGGACCACACATCTAAAGGGTGGAAAAGGACCAGTGGCACAAGAGAGTTTCTTCAAGAAATCTAACCTTAAAAATTGGCTGTAATACAGGAAAGAGAGACACGTGGTCAGCTGTTACAGGGACGATGGACAGTTCAATCCTGTTAAACAGCAAGAGCCCAAGCCCAGATTTATAAATAACTTAGATAAGGGAGTGAGTAGCAAGAGGATAATGTTTGTCAAGAACAAAAATTCCCAAAGACAGAAAAGGTGGGGGACTATGAAGAGTTTCAAGACAACCATATGCATTAAATAGCTGGGCAATAAAGCAGCAAGTGAAATGCAAGGCAGGCAAGGGTGAAGTGAGGCACGGAGCAAAAAAAGCAGCGCTCTCCGTCTGCAGATGATGATGGGTCTCCACCAGCTTTTACCGTCCAAGCTCAGAAGTACTGTGGATACTGCCATGAGAACAGCAGCTCTGTGGGCAGTGGCAATTAAAGAGCAATTGGCTGCTAGTAATTATTAGAAAACAAATGAGATTACCAGTGTGTTGCTGGTAATTCACAGCATACCAACTGCTCCAACATTGCATGCAGTGCCAGAATAGCACTGTAAGACACAAGGATGACCCGCGTGCGGAGCAGCATCCGTAGCAAGCACAACAAAATATCAAACTAAACTTGGGAAGAGACAAATGGGTGGGAAGGGAGTGTGCGATGGGACTGTGCAATTCAGACAAAGTGTTTGAGGTGTGCCTTCTTACTGTTTTACTAAGGTATCAACTGACCACCAAGAGAAGGTGGAAAACAATCAAAAGGAAGCATAAATGTCATTAAAGTGAATGTTTAAAATACACATAGGGTTAAAAAAAAAGGAATAAAATACAACTCTAGGGAAATCCAAATAAAACCCAACTATCCATCAAGACCTATTCAATATAGACACCACTGGTGTGACACAACACTCCTGAAATCACAGATTTCTGGAGGCGAGGAGAGAATTGCTACATATTTACCTTTCTTCAGGAGGCATCCAACACGTGCCACTGCTAGAAACAGTTATGTGGGGCTGACTTAGCAGGTCTGCTCTGCTTTGGTAAAGTAAGGCTTCAGACATAGCATTTACAGTTGTCTGCAATTGAAATGTCAGAATTCACATTAGGGATACGTGTGGGCATGTATGGTTAGGATTATGTATTTGCAGGACAAATCCAGAAGAGATCGAAGCCTACATAGGAACAACATCACTAAATGGAACAGACGGGAGCGCAGTGAAAGTCAACGTAACGAGAGTGATCCAGCACCCTCTCTTCAACCCCATTGCTCTGGACTTCGATGTGGCTGTACTGGAGCTGGCCAGACCTCTTGTCTTCAACAAATACATCCAGCCCATCTGCCTCCCACTGGCTGCGCAGCAGTTTCCTGTCGGCAAGAAATGCATCATTTCTGGGTGGGGTGACCTCCAGGAAGGGAACGGTAAGGAGGGACGTGGTATCAGTTGATTTGCTCTGGAGCAGTGACAGACTCAGCAGCAAAGCCTGTGCCACTGCAACGCGGGCAGCCCTGGGAGCATACAGGACAGGAGACAGTAACGGGGACAGTCGGGAACTGACAGAACCACAAGAATAAGTAAGGGTAAGGGCACACCGCGCACTACCTTAAACCACAGTTATTTAGGAGCCACAGGACAGGGAACAGTAACGGGGACAGTCGGGAACTGAGAACCACAAGAATAAGTAAGGGTAAGGGCACACCGAGCACTACCTTAAACCGCAGTTATTTAGGAGCCACCAGCAAACAAGAAAATGGAGAGAGCAGCCTGGCAGGAACCAGGAGCAGTCTGCTGGGCTCCATGCCGTAGTTCTGCCATTTCTCCTGTGTTAAGCAAGAGTGGGGCACTGCCTCGGAGGCCTGCTGCAGCTCTGCAGGGCAGCGCATCAGCCTCAGCAGCCGTGCTGGGTGGCAAGGCTGCTCCAAGCAATTGGAAAAAGCAAAGATCCCACTGCAGGGAGAAGGCCTGAGGGTGGCATGAGTGTTACCAGAGAAGCCCTCCTGTCCCTCCAGCAGTTGACCAGGAGCCCACAAGCAGTCAGGGGTGAGCCAGGATCTTCAAGGCTGCTGAAAGCACAGCTCATACAGGGCTCAACTTGTGTGTGGGATTGGAGCCTGCTTTCCTGGAATACGTGTTGGATCAGCCTAAAAGCCATTAGATCCCACTGCCCTCTGCTGCACTCGCTAATCCCATGGTTTTCATGCAGTCACCAAGCCTGAGACCCTGCAGAAAGCCTTGGTGGGCATCATAGACCAGGAGACCTGCGACTTCCTCTACAACTTCTCCCTCACTGACCGCATGATCTGTGCTGGCTTCCTGGAGGGGAAGGTGGACTCATGCCAGGTAAGAGCCTGGGGCTTTGCTATTCCTCTACAGATTGTTCCAGAAAGCTGGGCTAACTCACAGGTTCAGCGCATCCTTGGGAAATACTGACCGAGCTGCTGTGGCCAGCCTGTAATCCATGCATGCCTTAGCTCAAAAAGCCCAACCCACTGCCTTGAAGTTTTAGAAAGGTAAATAAAGAGCCATCAGGTTGACCATGACTTAAACCAACATCCCGCTGCTGCACGTGGCCAGGCTGGAGTCCTGGATGAAGCAGATCTCCTCCTGGGGCAGCAGGACAGTGGTGGTCAGTGGTGGCTGTCCCTCACTTGTGGGAAGGTGCTGCCAGAAGCCATTAACTTTCATGAGAAATGCCACTTGTATCTGCACACTCCTGTGTTGCACACACACTGCATGGCAGCAGACAGCCCTGTGGGGCTGGAGAAAGAAGAGTGGGGCTAGTTAAGTCCTCCCAATGTGGACCTGTGTTTGAGAGACAGGGCTGAGCAGCCATTGCCTTGCTTCTTCCTCAGGGAGATTCAGGGGGACCCTTGGCCTGTGAGGTGACCCCAGGAGTGTTCTACCTGGCCGGCATCGTCAGCTGGGGAATTGGTTGCGCCCAGGCGATGAATCCTGGTGTGTACTCCAGAGTTACCCACCTCAGAGACTGGATCCTGGATACCATCTCGCAGCTGCCCAGTCCTGGCACAGGTTCCCCCTCCAGCTCAGCCATCGCTGGAACTTCTGCCGCAGCCACCCTCACCCACCAGCCCAGCACAACAGCTCCCACCACCCTGGGGTTGGAGACCAGCACAGCCGTCACAGAAACCCTCACAGCTCTGAAAACCACTGAGCCTGCCAAGCCCACCCAAACTCCAGGTAAAACTGACCACAGATTTATTGACACATTGGTAGGAGACCTCCAACCCCAGCAGAGGGGCCTGAGCAGGCCATGGGTTATTGTCTTCCAGTGGTGCCTTGTACCAGCCTCACCTTCAAGTGCTCCAGCAAGGTCTGTATTGGGAAAGAAAATCCTGAATGCGATGGCGTTGTTGACTGCAGCAACGGCTTCGATGAGCGCAACTGCGGTGAGTATGGCTCTGCAGCCTGCGACCGCTGCACAGCCTTATTTATGTTACCCAGACTCCCCAGTGCAACCCACCACCTTCACATGGGTGGTTCTGGACCTTCGTTGTACACTGGGGGCCTGGGCCAGCCCCTCGTGGTCCAGGTCCTACTTGGCCTGCCACAGCCTATAAGAAGATAAAGCTGGATGAGCAGGGCCCAAATCTGTGATCCATGATCACAAGTTCTTAAACCATCCCATGTCTGCCAAGCCTCGCCTCGGATGGGTGAATGAGATTCATCACATCCTACTGCCCTATGTCCCTCCTGAAGGCTGTCCCGTGGCACGGGCAATGGTAGAGCTCCCTCTCACTTATGGTTACTTAAAACCACGGTGCCTCTTCTGTCCCAGACTGTGGCTCAGCAACTGCTCCGGTCTTCAGCAAGATTGTGGGTGGCAGCACTGCGGCTCGTGGAGAATGGCCCTGGCAAGTCAGTCTCTGGCTTCGGCGGAAGGAGCACAAGTGTGGGGCTGTCCTCATCGCCGACCGGTGGCTGCTCTCCGCAGCTCACTGCTTTGATATGTAAGTTTGAGATGAGCTAGTGAAGCCAGCTGGCTCCCAGCCATCCCCTTCCTCGCAGCCCAGCACCATGGGTATGGGTGGGTATGCCCACCCAAAGCCTGGGTATGCCCACAGTGTGATGGAGACAGGGGTTCTGGCCCCACAAGGTGTTGCCATAGTGCATCCCAGCCCCAAAGGTGGAGGAACGGCCCTCCTTGTGAGGCCACACTCCTAACAGCCAGGTTTGCTGTCTTTCCGCAGTTACAGTGACCCCAAAATGTGGGTGGCCTTTCTAGGAACACCCTTCCTGAATGGCATCGATGGCAAAATGGAGAAAATCTTCCGTATCTACAAGCACCCTTTCTACAACGTCTACAGCCTGGACTATGACGTGGCACTGCTAGAGCTGAGCGCGCCTGTCGCATTCAGCAGCACCATCAGACCCATCTGTCTGCCAGACGTTTCACACGTCTTCCATGAAGGAGCCAGATGCTTCATCACAGGCTGGGGCTCCACAAAGGAAGGAGGTACTGGCTGGGAGGGCTCCCTCACACCCAGATTGGCCAAGCTAAGTGCTATCCACCCTGCGAGCCCAAACATCCACGATTCCCACTCCACTGCCCCAAGCACTCCCCACGCCAGGCAGGGTAGATCGAGCTGGGCAAGGCCCTGTGTCACCACAATCTCCTCCCCAGCCACCATGCACTGAACTCCTCTATTTCCTTACACCTCTGCCCCCTTCCCGAGCTCTCCACGTGCCAGCCACCATTTCTACCTGGTCAGTCAAGTTGCCCAACAAAACCAAACTCCAAGGAGAGCTTCAGTGCTTGCTCTACTGGGGAAGAACCAAACCCAGCGCAGGCCTCTCCCTTCGGCGAGCAAGGCCACAGAGACCCCACTCCTACATGTCCTGCTGCTTCTCGTGTGCTCCGCAGCGAGCTGACAGCCGTTTGTGTCTCCTCAGGCCTCATGTCGAAGCATCTCCAAAAAGCAGCAGTGAACGTGATTGGAGACCAGGCCTGCAAGAAGTTCTACCCGGTGCAGATCAGCAGCAGGATGGTGTGTGCTGGCTTCCCGCAGGGCACCGTCGACAGCTGCTCGGTGAGTGCCAGAGCAGTGGGACAGAACCTGTGCAAAGCCCTGGGGCCATATTCTTTCAGGAGGGCCTTGCCCTGCCTCCCCTAGCCCAGCCGTCTGTCTGTCCGTCCATCTCCACTGGCCATTGCCATTACCCGAGTCCATCCTGCACATACTGGCCCCATTGCCCTGTGACAGGTCAGGGGAACATGCAGGGAGGTGACACCAAGCAGGAGGCCCCAAGGATACTATGGAGCCCATTTCATGACCCTGTTGTGCCTCTAAACACATCTGTGTCCCCCAGCCCCAACCTTGGATTGTGCATGCAAGCACATCACCGAGCAGTCCTCCAGCTCGGCAGCAGGCTGCTGGGGAGGTGGGGAACGGGACAGCAAATGCTCCTATGTTCCAGAGAGAAAGAGCACGTCACAGCTGGGGAGCTGGGCTGCCTCTTTGGCTTGATACAGGACCCTTTTCTCTCTCCACAGGGCGATGCTGGTGGGCCCCTGGCCTGTAAAGAACCCTCAGGGAAGTGGTTTCTCGCAGGAATCACGAGCTGGGGCTATGGCTGTGCCAGGCCATACTTCCCTGGTGTCTACACCAAAGTCACAGCTGTGCAGGGCTGGATTGCGCAGAACCTCAAGCTCTGAAGCTGCATTTTGCCACTCAGGGAAGGCAACGAACGAGAGGAGCAGTTACCAGAGGATGCACTAACCCCTCAGCTGTTGTACACTTGGTTTTGATGCTGCAGAGGGGTGAAGATGGCCTGCAAGTATTGAGCAAATGCCGGTGTTGTGTGACCCACTGCAGCTGGCACACCAGGGCATTTGATAACTGCTTTGCATAGAAAGGTACAACTCTAGACATTTTCTATAAATAAATGAGGCCTGTCCCACCTTAAGACCTGGCCAAACATCCTACGCATTAAAATGTGGCCTTTCTAGTTGGAGGGGTGCTCAAAACACCTGCCAGAGGTGCGTGTAGTTCGGCTGACCACTACCTATGAGCTGTCACCCCAAAGCCAAGCCAAGAGACAAGAACTTCGCCCCAGCCCAGTTACGCCCTTGCAGAAGCCTCAGACCTCACTGCCTTGACGGAGCCGTTACGTTGTGCAATGGCTTTTGGAAAGGGCACGCTGCTGTTTCCACTCAGTGTTTGGTACTGCCGAGCTCAGTGATGATGCCCTGGCTCACCATTTGATCACAAGAGGAAAAGACTAAAACACAGACTTAAGACCGCACAGGACCTCATCTGTATCAGAGAATCAGGACAGGCTTCTCACACCCAGCACCCACGGCTCCTTTTACATAGGGCAACGGGTGATTAAATTGGCAAAGACTAAGGCATGGCCAGACAGACCGCTGTTCTGGTCAAGCTGGGTGGGAAAAACTGGAAGGGCTGAGATAGTGGCCCAAGGATACAACTCCTTCAGTGGGAGGTCAGGTCCCATCAGCCAGCACAAGGCAGACACCTTTGTTCTCGAGCAAAAACTGCAGACCACCAAAACTGCACAGCAGCTGGTACCCCAAGCCCATGCCTGGCCTTTGGCGCTTAAGCTCTGCATTTGGGTATAGCAGGAGGCTTCTTCTTTCCCAGCCCAGCTGGCAGCGAGATCCACCCCTTTCCAGCTACAGCACTATCAAGGAGGGCAACGTGGCTTCCTGGCAGGGCTCAGCTCACAATGTGTTCAGATCCACGGTGGAACACTTGTGGGATGCTCCCATCGAGGAAACGGGACTGCTGCACAGCCAGCACCCCAAAATCCGTACAGCCAAACAGAAAAGTAAAAAAGCCCCTAAGCAAACATGGCTGGAAAGCACTTTATTTTCAAGTAGTCGTTCTGCCCAGTCTTGGTGGGAAACTCCAGTTCAGTTTCAAATAGTCCAATATCCAGTTATGTCCT